TGAGTGGCTATTGTCCTTAGAAGGCCCCAGCTCTGGAGGGAGGCCGCAGACTTTTCATCTGAGAGGCTGCAGCTGGTAAGCGCACTGGCTTGCGGGAACCACAGCAACACATTCCTCAGCCGAGGGGTTTAAACACAGAAATATTTCATTTTACTGTCCTGGAAGCTGGAAATCCAAGATCCAAGTGTAGGCAGGGTTCTTCTGGAGCCTCCGTTTGGCTTTTTTTTTATTTTTTTATTTTTTTGGTTTTTCAAGATGGGGTTTCTCTGTGTAGTTTTGGTGCCTTTCCTGGAACTCGCTCTGTAGACCAGGCTGGCCTCGAACTCACAGAGATCCATCTGGCTCTGCCTCCCCGAGTGCTGGGATAAGGCGTGTGCCACCACCGCCCGGCTCTCTTTGGCTTATATACAATCAATCGCCTTTGCTCTGTCTTTACAGACTCATCTAAGGAGACACAGCTCTCACCGCAAAGGAAATAAGAAATAGCTCAATTCTTTTTTAAAATCCTTGTGTAAAGGGCCCTCAGAGGCCAGAAGAGGGTGTTGGATCTCCTGGAACTGGAGTTACAGCCAGTTGTGAGCCACCATGTGGGTGCTGGGAATCGAACCCCAGTCCTCTGGAAGAGCAGCCAGGGCTCTTAAACAACTGAGCCATCTCTCCGCCCCAGAAATAGTTTATTCTTGAGCCAAACAGGAGTGACTGTATAGCACACGAACACAGAATCAGGTTGCTCAAATAACATGTTTCAATGAAGAAATGATTTCTTGAAATTATTTTAGTTATAGAACAAAAGAAAGAAATAAAAGTACCCCTCCCCCCACCGCCCAAATACATTGGTGGAAACAACAGTTAGGTGGGTTACAGAACCACAAGTACTCCATGCTATGGCTCCAGAGGCTTCTGAGCCTCTGGGTTGGGGGAAGATAGTTGTCTATGACGCTCAAAGGGTTTACCTGAGAGTCACGGAGATGCTAGGTCAGATACAGAAGTGGGCAGTGACTGGCAGCTATTAAGGGAACTAAAGATAGCCAAAGGCAACTTGGCTCTGGATCTGCAGCATTACAGCACTTAGGAAGCAAATCAATCATTTCTGCCCTGGGAACGTCACATCCCTCCGGGTTGTCTGTGTACTAGTCTGTTTTTATAAGGACTAAGTCATATTTGATTATGGCTGTCTCCAGTGTTCCCCTTTTCACGTGGTGACCCTTTTAAAGACACTGTCTCCAATACAGTCTGATTCTGACGTCCTAGCAGTCAGGACATCCACATAGGGACACTAGCAGTGAGGTGGGCAGTGAGTGGGATTCGACCACTGGTCGTAGGCATCCCTGCTTTTGCTGTAGTGGGGAGGTAGAGGGTGCATGTGAGACCTCCATGTTGGTGAGATGAACTTCATAGGCACCAGTGTAGTCCAGGATCACAGGACAGAGCCCAAGGGATGCATGATGGGGTGAGACTCAGCTTCTTCCCTGGACACTTAATCCTCGGGGCTCTGCCTTCTGCACCTGCCACTGGCTTTGTGTTCTCCCCAGGTCGGCACGCTCAAGCCACAGGAGCCACGAGAAAAACAGCCTGGGAAGGGTGTACGGCTACTTCCCACCAAACTCCCAGAGTGCCATCACCATCTCAGGAGATAAGGTACCGCCGCCTCCCTCTCAAAGACGGGCTGCAGGTAGCTTGGCTGGTGAGTGATGATCAGTTGTTCTTTGCAGGCAGTGGGAAAGCTGGGCACCTCCCTGTCAAGTGGCCATGTGAGGCTGAACGGGACCCTAACACAAGTGCTGCTGGTCGGAGCCCCCACCCGTGGTAGGTCACCACACGCTGCTGGGGTCTTTTTTGTTGTTGTTGTTGTTGTTTCTTTTGCTTTCTTGAGACAGGGTTTCTCTGTGTAGCTTTGCACCTTTCCTGGAACTCGCTTTGTAGACCAGGCTAGCCTGGAACTCACAGAGATCCACCTGCCTCTGCCTCCCGAGTGCTGGGATTAAAGGCGTGCGCCGCCACCGCCTGGCCATGCTGCTGTTTTTATCAGTTGTTCTATTACCAATAAAGACTCGGGAGTCAGATATTGGGCGAACACCTAGTAGATCAAAGATGTGGTGGAGGAGTGACCAGATGACCTTCTCTCCACACTTCCCAGACCAAAAGTGTGGAGAGAATCTCCAAGTCCTTCCCTACTCCTTCCTGTGCCTCTCTATCCCTATCCTGGGTCCTCTGTATTCTCTATGACTAATTCTTGTCAACTGGTCAGTGGCTCCGCCCCCTGACCAGCGGTTAACTTTAAGAACAGTCTCGGGGCGTCACAGGGCAGTCAAATATCCTGCAACAACATACCATAAGGCTCTTTGACCACATTGCCTTAGCAGAAAGTCAAGGGAACTTGCCAGGCCCAAGTGGACTTAAATATTTCCTTTTTAAAAATCACAAGTAGCAAGTTGTGTACCTTTGGGGTAGTTATTTAACCTTTCTGAATTCCTGTATCGTCATCTGTAAAATAGTTATTGTATTTATTTCAAAACTGTTGAAAATGATGCATGAAAGTGTGTCTAAAGCTCCCACACTACTGACCCCAGAGCTAGGGAAGAGCTGCTTTGTTTTGTTTCTGCTCTTGTTATTGAGGTGCTATTTAGCCCAGGCTCCCCAAAAATTTGAATTGACTTTGCTGGTTCTCACTCCTGTGGGCCAAGTAGAGGCAGGAGGTCAGGAGTTCAAGGCAAGCCTCTGCTACATAGTGACTTTGAGAGTACCCTGGGCTACATGACACTGTCTCAACCAACAAACACACCTAAAACTCGTGGGATAGTCAGATGATCCGTGGTTAAGAGCCGGTGCACTCTGGTTCCCAGCACACGCCATGCGGCTCACAATTGCCACCTTCTGGCTCCCGCAGGCACTCACTCATGCACACAAGATACACACACACACACACACACACACACACACACACACAGAATAAGTATTTAAAAGGCTTAACTTGTATTTAAACTATTTTAAATTATTTTTATTATTTTATTTCAGGTTTAGCGTAATCAAATCCTTTAATAATGCTGGCCACTTGAAAGGGGTTGGGGGGTTGGGATAGAAGATCCACCAGCAATTTCCTTATGTTCCTTTTTTGTTTGTTTGTTTGTTTGTTTTTTCGAGACAGGATTTCTCTGTGTGGCTTTGAGCCTTTCCTGGTACTCGCTCTGTAGACCAGGCTGGCCTCGAACTCACAGAGATCTGCCTGGCTCTGCCTCCCTAGTGCTGGGATTAAAGGCGTGTGCCACTGCTGCCTGGCTGTAATTTTCATTCTTAATTAAAAAATGTATTTATATCTTATCGTGAGCATATTCTTTGTCAAATATTCTTCAAAAATATGATTGCTCTTGCATATATTGCATTTTTCTCACTTGTACCTGCCACTGTCGTGTGAGGGAAACAGTCAGGTGTCACTTTGACATTGTCCTGGAGGAGGGGCTGGGCCTCAGCCATAGAAACCAGAGCTGGGGAAATGATGGGCTACTTTTCTCACGCACTGGGCACCTCAGGGAGATTGCCAGACTGGAGGAGCCAGTCTTCCCCGAGACCTTTCCTGCACAGTGCCAGACAGTCATTTCCGAGTGATGGCTTACTCTAAGAGGGGAAGAGACTTGAGGGGCAAGCGTGCATCAGGTAAAGACTTGACTGCATGGTCACTGCGCGGGTGGGAACAGGACAATGTGAGGACATGCTGTAGAGAACACTGCAAAGATTCCTCTCTGTCCTCTTTTTAGGAAGTCATTTACAACCGCTCCAGGCACACATTGCTCATTTTCTTTTTTTAAAAAAAAAATTTATTTAACTTTATTTTATGTGCATTGGTATAAAGGTGTCAGACCCCCTGGAACTGGAGTTACAGACAGTTATGAGCTGCCATGTGGGTGCTGGGAATTAAATCCAGGTCCTCTGGAAGAATAGCCAGTGCTCTTAACTACTGAGCCATCTCTCCAGCCCCTCATTTTATTTTTCTTGTGATTCTATTGTATGCTGAGAGTTAAAGGTTCCCAGACTTTTCTGGTAAATTGCTCTT